ATTTTGTAGATAAAACCTTTCTTGCTAGGACGGCAGTTAGAAGTGCTCATGTAGTTCACTAAAGATAAATAACATTTAAATTTGATACATTTCAGTATATTAAGTATTACCATTGCTGGACAGTAGTGACGTTTTGGTGGATAAATACAGCATTTCACTGGACATATACCTATGCCATTTTGCTGTACGTTTGCTGCACAATACCAATTGCTGGACAAACTTTAAAAATGCTTTACAATACAGCAAAATTGTCGCCCTATATTTTAATAACTAAAAATAAATTTTAAAAATATTGTGTTGTAGGTTTTCTTTGTGGTGGATTATAATTCTAGTAAAAATGTCAGGAATTTTAGAAGCTAAAGTTAATAATACAGAATTGGTTGAAGAAGAATATATAACATCTGAAATTATTTCTTTTTCTTTCATAGCAGAATATCATGCTAAAAACATTGTTCTGTATAAGTTGAACATCCATTATTAAGTATCAAATTTGTAAAAATCAAAATAAAGGTTATTATTTATTTAGGAAAACAAAGTAAATAAAAATCAACTAAAAATAGGTGCAACGATTTAAACGAGCATATTTTTCATTTTCTTTATACATATTATTTTCTTTAATAATAAACAAGTAAATTTATTATCTACAAGGTTATTTTTAGGAAGAAACTATATAATTAAGTTCACATTATTTATTTATCTATCTATTTGTTTACAGTACGCTACAGATACATAAAGTTCTAAATAGTACATTTAAAATATAAAAATAAAATAAAAAAGAAATTAATAAAATTGTCATAGTATAAAATTGAAGTCAATATAGTATAATGAAAGTCGACGCTTAAAAGAAACCTACTAAAATGTCATAATTTGAAAAATACTTATTGTAATTGGACATCAGTCGGTCTACAAATAAATTCTGTCCACAGTTAGTTCCATGAGTATTTACATAAAATAGTTTAATCTGCCTAGTAAGTCTGGCAGGAACAAGGAATCTAATAAAATGAGGAATAAACGATAGGCCCCTGTCAAAAATATCACCAAGATCATTTATAGTTCAGAACCTGCAGTGACATAATCATGCATAATGATATTAGCTGTTTTATTAAACCTTATAACTTTACATTTATCAATATTCAGTTTAATCAAGTTATATCGTATTAAAACTATGATTAGTACCAGTTGTAGGCAAATATATTTTTTTAGCATCATACAACTGCCATCTTAATAAAAATCTAGTAACCTTTAAAATATACCTTATATAAATACACTTTTTTTTATTACTTTTGTACAATCGTTCACTATTTTAGCTACTAGATCTGAAAAGGTCGCGGTGGACAAGGACAAATAACGTCCAACTCCTAATCTAATCTTACCTTATTATACTCTTTCGTGCAAGCGTTCAATGTTTTTGATTCTAGTGAACTTTTGAGATATTCCTTATATACCCTCTATACCTACTTTTGTCCAATTTGTCAGTGTTTTATGGTATCACACATGTGTAATTGCATTACCTGTATTATTACCTACCTCTACTTGTATGATATTGGTATTTGATTTCAATAGCTTTTTAATAATAAATGTATACAATTTTTTTATTTTGTTTTCTTCAGATTTTACTATATCCTTAATATACTATTTTGAATATAGTGTATCCAAGGATGGACATAACTATACTTGTAAAGATATTTATTTTAAATTTTTCAAAAGAGGTATTTTTCATAATTTCTCAACGTTAATCGTATTTATTTAACAAGCAAAAGAAATTATGAAGAAGTACTTTAAAATTTAAAATATATTTTTACAAGTATTGTTAAGTCCATCCGTGGACACACTGTATAATGCTGTAGAAGCAATTCACATTATAACATCTATAGAAAGTTTCAGAGCAACTTTCGGGGTAAGTACCGTAAAAGTGCTAGTGTGATGTTTTCCGAACTTCACTTTATAACTTCTACGAGATGTGCTATAAAAGTCTTGCCGTTGCGGACATTCGGTAGTTGCTGGAATAATAGGGTTACATTTACAGTACATTGCATGCGAGCTTAAAGAGCCTAAAATTGCAGCTTATTAACATAGATGGGATATTTTAGTGCTAGCTGGGTAGCATGTATGATTGATGTATTTATAAGAATAATGTAACATAAATCAGCATTCATATTTCACGACAGGCTGAATGGCAAGTGTCCAAGCCAAAAAAATATAACTACAACAGAAACGGCTAATTTTATTTGATTAATCAAAAATATTTATAGAACATTCAATATAAAAACCGATACACGTCATCAATCAGTTGTAAAGTTATAGCCTTGCAGTGTTGCCCAATCTTCAAAATATTCTAAGAATGTAGGAATTTTTAAAACTATGAGGTTATGTTTTTTGTTATTAGGAACAATTAATTTTAAATGTATAATGAATTCTATATAAAAGCCAATGAAGGTCATTGATAACGTTTAAATTGAAGTTTTAGAAAAACACTGAATTTAATATCTAGTAATAAATTTTGCACAAGAGGTTTAAAATGACAAAAAAAGATTAGGTTAAGGATGAAAAAACAAACAAATTTTATTTAGGCTTGATTTAATTTACAATAAAAAATAATTATGTTCAGTTAGTTTATAAACATCCATATTTAAAAGAAGTGACAATAATTAGAAACGTTAGGTAATAAAATTAACAACACATGACATTTTAAAACTTAAATAATATTTAAGCTAAAATCAGTCAGAATAATCAGAACTAAAATCAGAATCATCTCTATTTGGTGTTATAATAATGGGAGCAATTTCCAATCGGTCCAGTATATGCTCTCTTTCACACCATTTTAAAATTTCTTTTTCAGTGTGTCTTACACTGTTTGCTCACATTTGTGGGGGTAATGGTTCGAAGTGCTTCAAAGCACATGTCTATACAATCTCTTTATGTCTTTCCATTCCGACCAATGTGCTTGTTATAATATTGTTTTGAAATACCCCAAATCAGTTTTATTGGATTAAAAATACAATGGTAAGAAGGAAGACGTAACACCTTATGTCCATACTGTTCAATCAGCATATCAGCTACATATATTTTTGGTGGTTTATTACTAAAAAATAAAATCATTTAAAAAATACAGAAAAAATAGATTTCCATTACTCACCGTCTAACAAGGTTCAAAAGTTCAGCTTTAAACATGGTGACTGAATAAGGTATGTTCGATTCATCAACCACTCTTGAATTTGAACCTTAGTCGAATTACTATTCAGTGTTTTGTGTGCCAATGTGCTATGGTATGAAGCATTGTCCATTACAATTAAAGATAGTTCATGCAGTCTTCGAAGCAATTATTCTTCGAACCATTTTAAAAAATTTTCATTATTCATCTCACTGTGATAATCATAATCATTGCTTTTTGAAGCAAATATGGCCTCGACACCATCAATAAATCCATTTTCGTTACCAGCATGAATAATTATCTATAAAAAAGATCAATACACAGTTAACATGTATATATTCATTAGTTTTTTTTTTTATTAATCTTTTACCATCAACTTTTGTACTTTTTACACTTCTTTTATTACCGTCTTGCCAAGAACGGTTTATGGTGCCATTTTGGAAAATCCAAGTCTCATCAATAAAAACAAACTGGTACAAATTTGCTTCCTTTTTGTTAGTATATTTTCTTAAAAATTCTGCCGTTTCACGGCAATATCTGGAAGTTCCATAAGACCTCGCCTTGGTTTATCTTTCTGCCATTTGAAACCTATTTCTAATAATAAGGTATGCAATGATGTGCGATATCCATTGAACAACTCCTTATTAAGTTTCACCAACAAAGAATCTAAACTTACATGCTCCTCCGAAATCATACATTAATTTGTAATTGTTTAATAATAATTTATATACATATACACTTACTAGACTCGTACATGCTATAAATAACATTTCGAATAGCACTGGTATTCAGAATTCTTGTGTTGGTAACTTTCTTTTGCCTAGGGCGCTTTTTTGGTGGTGACTTTAGAACTTCACTGTTCTTTACAGCTTGTGAAATAGAACTAACAGTAGAAAAATTGAGATTAAGTGCTTCTGCGACACGTTGAAACAAAATAATTATATTGATTTGACGGTGATACATTATTAATCAACTCACTTCTCTTACAGCTGTTAAAGGTAACAAAGGCCCATTATTATCGCGTTCTTTCTCAAAATAATTTATTAGAGAAGCCACTAGTTCCTTGCAGCGACTATTTAATTGTTTTGGCATTTTTCAATGAAACAATACATAATAAACGAACACCACTATTAAATTCCTAATAAATTTGTTCTGAAAAGAACAGTTTGTTAATAATTTAATCTAAAATACAAATAATTTGTTGAAAATAAATAAATCGATGCAAAATAATAAAAAACAAATAAGAATTGACAACAATGTATTAAAATTGAAAGCTGACACATTTGATGCCAACTTTTATTATGAAATTCACTAGAAAGTATTCCGTTAATAATCTGCCTACAGTACATTTAATACTGTGATATGATAAAAAATACATTTTTAATATGCAATTTTATAAAAATGAAATCCATGCATCTAAATTTAATCATTTATTTGCAAAATAAAATTTAATTATTTTTATTAGTATGTGTGGTACCAATGACTGTCACTGACGTCATCTCTGACGTGCATCGGTTTTTATATTGAATGCTCTATACCGTTTCATTTCCATTAAAGATTAGAGCTAAAAGCAAAATGACATGTGCATATTAATTGGTCCAATTCATTGTATCCTGACGACGGTTTGTGGGAGATTAAAGGTTTTACAAAATTTATAAAAAAATATTTATTTACACTTTTTTACATAGGTACTCATATTTGTTTTTTCATTATGTAACAATAATTTCCATATTCGTTTAGCAGTACCTTTTCAGAATTAAGTACTGGGTTTTTATAGGCACAGTTAGTTTTACGGTTATTGTACATATATACACAGTCATTTGTTATATCTTATTCTAAGGTATATATTTCACCTTCCTAATAGCACGTTTAATTTTTTCGTTATCCACGAACCACCTCTGGCTTTTGTTGCGTTTAATCTCTTCTCTTTGAATTTTTTCCACTCTTCTGTTCTGACTTGACCATCAGGTCCCCAAGTTTCCATCGAAAAGGTCTTTGGTATTATCTGAAATTGAATTCCTCTGTAATTTATATTTTAAAACATTGAAAATGTGGATGGCGATGGTTTAGACTTTGTTAGGGTGTATATTTAAATATATAAATAAAATCAATTCTTTAAGTTAAAACATTGTTTTTCTGTGACCACTATTGAAAACATGCGTTTGCGCAGCAATTACCATTTGTCCTCATAATACTACGAATAAAATGACAGATGTGTGCGATTAAGTGATATATAATCGTGCGTCAAATAGTTACTTTGTTAGGGTGCGATCGTATATGTAAGGAGGGGGGAGGGTGAGGTGCCCACAGTACTGAGGATTTCCTAGGACTATTGTACTGCTCGTCAAAAGCCTGCTGGATGACAACTCGCCGAGGATAGTTTAGAGATAGCCAGCCTCTCAGTTCTTCAGAGTCCTGTAGGTTAATAACGTCGTCCTTTAATTTCATTAAGTTGTAGCATTATTATTGTAAGTATGTTTTGTTATCACTAGCTTTAGGATAGGTGTCTAATATATCTAGCCGTAGCCACAACTATAGCCACGGCTAGACAACCGGAGTGAGGTTAAGTTAATGAATACTTAAAAAAGGTGGGAAGTGCAACTTGTTGAAGCCAGTTGAAATAAATTTAAAACTAATTGTTCTGTGTATTTATTCAAATATCTACAACCAGCACCTAGAATAAGACATGGTGTCAGGTTTTATTTGCTAGAAAATTTATCAGTATCCGAAGTGTAGAAACAGACAGAAATGGAGCCTCTTTTCAGAATACCAGGAAACCTATTACTTGACGGTAACATTTCCGAAAACTGAAAGAAGTTTAAACAAAAATATGAACCTTTTATGGATGCTACGGGATACTGTGGGAAACCTCAAGAAAGAAGAAAAGCAATGTTTTTAAATCTTATTGGAGATGAAGGACTTGAATTGTTTAACACATTTACGTAAGAAGGTAGAGAAATAACTAAAACCGATGTGTTACAAAAGTTTGAAGCATACTGTGCACCAAAAAAGAATGAAATATATGAAAGGTATATCTTTAACAGTATTACTCAAAAAGAAGGATAACCTTTCAATGTATTTGTTACCGATTTAAAGAAAGCTATAAGAACAATGGGGTATACCCAAACTGATGAAATGGTTAGAGATCGTATTGTTTTTGTCATATATGACAAAAGTACCTAAAAAAAATTACTGAGAGAACCAGATTTAACTCTAGAGAAAGCAACAAATGTTTGTCGATCGATAGAAGTAAGCAAAACCCAGTCAAAAGTGCTACAAAATTAAGTGGGAGTAAGTGCTATTTACAAAACAGGAAGAGAGAGGGTCCCTTCAGGTGCATGTGGTGCTTGTGGCTATAAGCATCCCCCAAGCAACTGTCCGGCTTTTAGAAAAACGTGTGCTAAATGCAAGGAACCCTTTCACAAATGTCTGTCAAAATAGGAGCAAACCAGTAGAAGAACCGGTTTCAAGGAGCAGAAATATAAGAAAAAGAAATGCTCATGCAGTGGCAGTAGAAGAGTTCTTCATAGAATCTTTGTCAGTGCAGAAAAGTGTTAATTCTGTGCAATACGATAGTTTATTAATAATTTAATGTGGACCGAGTGTTTAGTAATTAATAATAGAAAGATATTATTTAAGCTAGACACTGGAGCCGAATAAAATGGTCAATAGTAATATTACATTGATATCATATGGTAGTAGCCAATTCAGAATCAAACCCTTAGGCCAAATTAGTTTATTTGCACAATTGGGAACAAAATGTCAAACATAATATTTGCTGTAATAAAAAGTGTTGATCAGATACCTTTATTAGGATTACAAGCCTATAAAGTCCTAGAATTTATACTTATACTTTTAAAGCTGGTTGTAGTGGAAATCTAAAAAATAACATGCACCTTTAAAAACCAGATTCTTTAGAGGATACTATGGCGTACGTAAAAGAATTTAATAGTTTCCAAGATTTGTACGGAAACATAAATGATAGAAATTTTCAACAAAATGGATTTTATTCTAATAATAACAGACACAATTTTTCAAAAAACCATACAAATTTTAATCAAAATCAAAATCACAATTTTAATCAAAATAGATTTCAAAATTTTGTGCCAAATAATCAACAATTAAATACACGTTTTCAGAATTTCCAACAAAATAATTATCCAACAAACAGGCAAAACTTCCCTAGTCAGCCAATTAATGTAGAACCCATCCCGCAAAATAAAAAATACTTTACAAACTGCCAGGTATTTGGCCCGCAAAAAAATGTCTTTCGACGAAATCAGATTTCTGAAAGTCAGTTACCAAAACCAGTGCCAATATCAACAACATCGCGAAATCCTAGTTTACAAACAAGAAGATCATTTAATTATAATAATACATTTTTCCAAAACTCTAATCAGAATTCAAAACCAAATTTTTTTTTAACATTCAAACCAATATAGTAATAATTCTAACCCTAAATTTGAATATGATACAAATTTGTACCATAATGATTGCGACAATTTTGATTAATATCAAAATCAAAATCATGAATTTGATAATGAACAAATTTTTAATGAACATATAAACAAAGAATACAGCTCATATCAAAATTTTCGGGCTGCGGTCAATAGTGAAACGATAATAGAAATAAATAATTTTTCGAAAAACCCTTTAGAAATTTCTGACACTACAATAAAACTACTGATAGATACAGGTAGTTCAGTATCAATAATAAAACCTTCTGTTATCGACATTTTTTATCCAAATACAATTTATCACTCAAATGTTGTGATAACAACGAGCTGCGGTAGTAAGAATTTAAGATACCAAGCATCGGTTCCCGCATTCCCAGAATTTAATCGCAATAATTATCATATCAATTTTATTTTGTACGATTTCCATCATTACTTCGACGGAATATTAGGAATAACAGATTTAAAAAATATGAACTTGAATATCGACATCATTAATGAAAAGTTAGTAGGATATAATATAGAAATACCCTTCAAATATAGGCAAGTTGACGATGTTAAATTTTCATTCTCTGCGAATTCCAGAGAAAGAGCTATCAAAAAATTACCTGTCTGCGTTTACAACGGTGAAATTTTGGTTGAAGCGCAAAATATTGAAAACATTTTTATTCTACAAGTTATAATGATCGCAAAAGAAGGATTCGCCCCAATTGAAATTCCATTTAAATATAGTCCAGGCAAAGAAACAATACTTTCTTGTTGTGAAGTCATGAAAAAAGATGGAACGGAAGAAAACGATTTAGGTACTATTCCTTCTAAACTAAATAAAAATATATCGGAATTCAACAATTTTGAAACTAAATCTATGAAAGATATTTGTTTTGAAACAAACATGTCTAAACTTTTTGAAACTGAAAATATTGATAATAATCTACAAAAAATCAACAGTAATTTATATAAAAATAATTTAGGAGACAATGCAATCTCTCAAAATAAAATGGAGGAACTTAATACTTCAGAAATATAAATATAAATGATATCGACAAAATAGTTCATGAAGAGTTAGTAGATTATTTTCCAAAATTAGATCAAAAAATAGATATTATAGATAAGGATCAAATAATTGATATCGATTAACTATACAAATTAAATGTTATGCTGAACGATAAAAAGTTTTCTAAAATAAATCCGTATATTAAAAAAGAATTTACATTATGAAATAAAAATATTGAAACTAAAATAATAACAACATATAAAAGCAAGAGAAAAGTAAAGAAAGAATTGTCATTGCCAAATAATAAAATTAAAACCAAAATGAAAAAACCAGGAACATCGGGTCGATGGTGTAGCGGTCTAACGCGCTTATATTCATTTATAGGCAAGTTTATGAGTCCGAGACTGATGGGCTTCGAATCCCAGACCAGACCATGTGGATTTTTAATTAAATTGCATGGTTCGGTTTAGGATTTGATGTGTACCGTATTAATAGAAAATTCAATTTCTATTGATATGACATGCAGATTATAAAATCGCCATACATTATCGTCTCGATGATGGTGGGTGAGGTTTTCCGGGTTTTCCTCACCTGTAAGTCAAATGGCACCATCAATCATCCTTAAGTCGCCCCGGAGCGCCACGGCAAATAATAATAATAGCCGTCCCTTACCCTACACAAGTCGTTCAGTCGACTTCAGGGGTTGAAATTCACTCGTAAGGGGGTGAATTAGGGAGAGTATTATTATTATTGTATTATTATATAAATGTAACAGGAAAAGAATAAAATTTAATTGTTTTTCAAACTTTAAGAGAAAAGAAACAAAATTCAAAAACTATTAAGCACTACATAACGCTGACAAAATGAATCTATTTTTATTTAAATCATGCTTCTAATTTTGTTAAAATAAAAAAAACTTCATTATACGAAACCAAAAACCAGCAATTATAATTCACTAGAAGAAAGATTTATTTCTAGTATTATTGAATATTATAGATGGTATTCAAGAGGAGAATAAAAATCTTACACCTGATCAAATAATTAAACACGCAATCTTAAGTTACAATAATTCGATTCACTCTGTTACCAAATTTACACCTTTACCTTTACAACCCGAAACTTTTGAATTTTATCATTTGTATCCAATAATTCAAAATCACAAAATATATACTCCCACTTTCCCCTATTTGGCACGAGAACAAAAGGAAACTAAATTCGAAAAAGAACAATGCCCATCACTAGAAAATTGTTACTACTGTCAAGAAAATTTCGTTCCACGGGACAACTGCACCCTCAATTTATTGGAAGGTCATATCCCTCAAAATTGCCATATATTAGAAGTAAATGTTCAAGAAATTATCGTTCAACAAGTTACCACAGACGAAGTCCTGATAATACCAGCCAAAGCGCAACAAATTCTATCAAAGCGTAAAAGTAATCGATTCTTTTCGAAACTTAAGAAGGGAAAAGTTATGTGTTGCTAAAATAGCTATATAGATAATAAACAACTTCCTGTAAATAACTTTATATTATCATACTTTTATTAATTTTCCTAGAGATATACAATAGGTGTGGATTAAATGTAAAATACACGTAATACATGTGTACATGTAAAATAAATAATTTAACTTGACTTTGTCCAATAAAGACTTATTAAAAGTACTTCTTAATTTTTTTAAAAAATAATTTTTCATAAATAAGATTAAAACTCTTCACTTATTTAATTATAAATAAGAAAGATGTTTTTCGAATTTTTGTAGTTTTATGCAATTTTTCTCGAAACTGATTTCCTTGTGTAGATTAATCTAGATTGTGTCCATCTAACTTTTTTGTAAATTAAGAACTTTTTACCACTGAAAAAGCGAATTAACTGAAGAGCAACTATTTTTCATACTTACCACTGTACTGTACACATTTATACCTGATTGCGGCTGATTTTATTAAGGATGATTTGTGCGAGTTTGTTTATCTGAGATGCGTACTATAAATGAATCAGTACTTATTCGCGATTCAAATTAATTTTCGCGCGCCTGTCTTATGTCACCTATAAGTAGGATATTTGTTTATTTACGTGTTTCTTTTGGGCGGATTTTGTATTTGTGATTTTTTTAACTGTTTTAGATAATATTCTCATTGTAATAATGTTTTTGAGTTTCATTTAGTGTTAATTTAAGTTTAAGTCTCGTGCTTTCGTCATAAATATAATATTTATCATGTGTATGACTTAATTTTTTGGAAATATTCACCTATTGGTTGCTACAAGAACATCTAGAAATATGTATTTACTAAACCCAGAACATGTTTAATTATGCGGTTTAAAGGACATTTCAGGTACTGTAAACGTTTATTGTTGATCAACTTATTTCAAAATCTTACTATCCTTATTCTTATATTATGAAGTGAATTGTGTAGTATTTTGTGTACATGTAAATGGTAATAAAACCATTACAAATCATATTACAGTTTGTTTCTAAACAAAGTTTTGCAAAATTTGAATATTGTGAATTTGTAGACATCCATTTATTGTAAAAAACAAAATTTTACGACTTGCACTTGGAAAATAATGAATACTTCAGTTTTGATTTTGACATTAACACCATATAGATTGCAATTTTCTGAAGACTTTCTCGCAGATTTCATTTTTAATACAAACACTATCACATATACTATAAGAAATAAACAAATTTAAAGCTAAAAAGTAAGAAAAAACTCGAATTGTAATTGGTAGAAATTAAAATGCAAACAATGAACACGAACGCCAATGTTGCCAAATGATGAACTGATTTTAAAACAAAATTAACAAATGAACTGAAATTTAAAAAAATCAATATAATAAATCGGTTTTATAAAAAAATCCTTAAAGAAATATAGAGTATGATTACATATTACTATACACAAATTTTGATTCTTAAATAAAAGGTCTTATCCACTTCTTCAAGAGCTAAAATCCGATGACGTAGCGAAATTTTGCTACTCCTGGCAACACTGAATGATATCCTACTTATAGGGACTAGGGAACTTCTACAAATTTCCTCCAGAGGGCGTATCACTTAGCTTGAATCGCGAATATGATTAAGACGCTGCTTTACGCTGATGTCATACTTCAAAGTGACGTAATAAACTAAAAATTCATTCCCATTTTTAATTAACTGGATCAGCCCTTTTCTTAAAGTTCCCCGATTTTTAAATTATTATTTTCCGAAATTTCCGCGATTTTTAAATAATTATCGATTTTATTTCAACCATGTGGTTAATTTTATATTGCTGTAAATTCATCGCGTCCCACTACCGACCTTTTGCGTACTCGAAGTCGACGCGGAGGGAGTGAAGGTGAACGATAGACAGGATCGTGAATAGCGGACGACAAGCATTCATTTTAGTGATGGGTATAGAGCAGGGGGGGATATCGCGCATGGTGTCATGGCGGCGCTGACGTCATGCGTAGAGTTAGTAGAGTTGGCGCGAAATAAATATCATATGACAGACGCATGTTGCAGTAGTTTGGGAGTCGTTTATAGTGATTTATAAGGCATTAAACAGATATTTGTATTATATTATATTGTAAACTTTGTTCTCTCTGAGTGGTTTTAGTGAAAAACTTTGAAAAATTGCGGTAGGAATGTAACAGTAACAATTAAAGCAAAGGATTCAAGAAAAATTTTATGGTTTTTCGCTTTCTTCAACAGTAAGAGCTCAGTCAGAAGTGAGGACTGGCCCAAGGGCGGCTCCAGCGGAGGCTCAGGGGAGCATGCCGTTCCCTAGATTAAAATTCTTAAAATCCATGAGCCTTTTATTAAAAAAAATGCTAAATAGGCAGTTCTACCCTCCTTCCCAAGAAAAATCGATATGGAGCAGCCCTTGCAGTGGCTTCTGCAAATAAATTTTCATATGTATTCCAAGCACTTTCAACCTTCCAATTATAAGAGGAACCTCCAATCAGAATTTCACATTGGTTCAATCGCAACTTGGGACTTCTAAACTGGAAACTCTACCCTTTTAAGGCCAAAAATTTCGCAATATAAGCAAAAGTGAAATTGTAAATGTGGCAAAAAAAAGAAAATTTCGACTTATACTTAATGAATGAATTAAAAAAACTGTCAGCGACTTTGTCCAGGAAAATTGCAGTGACATTTTATTTTAATTTTGTACATGCACCCACAATATGTTATGTAGCTGTTATTTGTATTTTATACATTTTTTATGCTTTGTATTATATGAATGTCTACATTATATTATATGAAAAAAAAAACATATTTTTTAAAACTTATTTTTATTCAAGTTTCAAGTTGCGAAGATACCCTTTTCATTATCCTGGTTATATAACCTATTCTTTAGAAGTCGAATTTGTATAACCATAATAAATCATTAAAAAAGAAAAAGGTAAATACTTCTTTTATGTATGTATTTGCATTTATGTTCCTTCGTAGTTCTTTCCTTAACTATCCTATAATAATATCCATAGATATTTCATGTAATTTCTAAAATATTATCCCTAATATTCATGAAATTTCTGTAAGTAGCATATATTTTCCTCACACTTTGTCAGTATTTTTAAATTCGCGCCTATACAAACTCTACGCGTGACGTTATGCGCGTGGCCGTCCTATTTTTGACACTGTTGATATCCTACCTTTTATTTTTTATACCATGGGTATAGAGAAAGTAAAAGTTGAAAAGTCTTTTGGTAGGTAGAGAGGGGGTAAACGTCAAACCACGTCGGGCGGCTCCGAGAATTTCACAGTAATGTTTACCTGCCAGTGTCATTTCATAGAATAAGTAATTTTAAATTGTTATCGGCGGAACCGGACAATCGCATGTATTTATGGATTATAAATAATTATTAAACATGTATTATAATATTCAAATTATAATTTTATAAAATTTCAGCAGCTATTCACAATTTATTAAACTATTTACTCGAAATTGTTATTAACATCTATAAAATAATTTTGTACGCCAATGTATCGCGTCCACTTCGGTGAGATCCGGTGCCAACCTGTCAATTTATGTGTATAAAGTGGGAGAACTGGCAAAAGCATTTCCAACTTTTACTTCTGTTCTAATTCAAACACTTCCCGGCGATCGAATCAATTGGTGATTGATTTCTAAAATTACCGAATATTTTCAATCGATCGTTCAATCATTCCAGTTTTTGATCTGTAAACTATTCAAGATTGCCGTAAGCTCAGTAAACAGTGGGGTCTATTCTGTAACAATTCCTTTATATTTAACGGCCTTTAAAAATATTGGCGGCCTATAAAAATATGTTCGTATTCGTTAATTTACTTCTGTCATTATTTAAACAGATTTCTTTAAGATAGTTCTCTAATATATTTTAAAGATCCGTTTAAATAATGACAGAAGTAAAGAAGAAAATATTTTTAAAGGCCGTTAAATATGAAGGAATTGTTGCAGAATAGACCCCAGTGTCACCGATAGCCGTTGGTTGAACGATTGGTTGAACGATTCAATTGGTTGAACGATTGGTTATTCGATTACGTATTTTCGGTACATTTTTAGAATGAATGATAGAATATAATTCATCATATTTTATTTGTATGGGTCGTTTTCGTGTGTCAATAATATGGTCAGTTTTAATTAATCGATATGTCAATAATTTATTTCATTTTTAAACGCATGCTAACGTAAACACCGCATCATCCATTTAATTTCCACAATTTAACATTTTATTCATACCTATACCTATACGGCTAGGTACAGGTCTAGGTTAGGTTAGGTTGAAAATGAGTGGGATGATCTCATCGCCTTCCACTGCGACCCAGATGGGTCTATGGTTACATGGGTCTAACAAACGACCTAGTTTTGACCTGATAATACTTTTTCTTACCTTGCTACAGGGATATTTCCGGTTGGCATAAAGATAATAAATTAACCATCCTATTATTTGAACCACTGTTCCTGCTAATATTCCCCAACCAAATACTAAAAAAAAACTAATTATTGACTTCTAGTTTATGATTTAGATTGCGATTTTATATCACAAAATAAATCAGTACTTAAATAATTATTTTATTTTTACGTGTCTTTGTTTACCATTTAGTCCAACTGGATAATATAAGTCATATATTCCGTAAGTCATGGGCTTCAGCGTAGCGAGAAAATAGATGAATATTACAATCAATAATACTGGCACAATTATACTCCAGCAGACTCTCCAGTAAATGCTAACTTTTTTTTTCGTCATAAATTCCAAATCTGCACATAAATTGTCAACACCTAAAAACAAAAAATTTGCAGATTTTTAAACATGCGGATTAAACTTCAAAAAATAGAGAACCCAAAAAATACCTTAGTAACCCACTCGCGCCTGTTAAAAAATATATTTGAGTATCTTTGCATTTAGGTAGTATAGGTATTGATTTAAAAATTTAAAAGGCTAATGTGAATAAAAATATTGAAATTCTATTGATAACTTTATAGCTTACCATAGAGACCGCAAACAGCCAAAACTTCCAAAATGACACATACAAATATTACAAAAGTTCCACCAAAATGATCTACCAAGTCCAATATATATAGTCCACCCTATAAAAAATAAAAATTACTTGTAATTAAAAAAAATGTTTCTAAAATAGGCCATGACCGACATAGATATGAGTATTGCCAGTAATCTCTGTACACATATTTCTAAATAAAATCCAGACTGTCATTAAAAAAAAAAAAGAAAAATGGAGAACTCCGATATGCATGATTTTGTCCTTGGTAAATCTTAGAATCTTTGAACAGGGTTGTTAAATTAAAAACACACTACTATACAGTATGGTCATGACAACAAATTTTTTTGTAATAGAATTTTGAACCGATAGGTTTAACTTAAAGACATTATTCCTAGTGTCAAGTTACCTTTGTCACAGATATTATGATACCTATTCGAAATTATAATTTTAGCTTGAGTAGCCAATAGCCGCTCTGAAAGAAAGTGCTTATGGTACTTAACAGTAAATACCTACTTTTTTGGAATCTTTATTTGCTTTAGGTTATTTTCGGTATTGCAGTACCAAAATTAACATACTTAATACTCGATGCACTTTTATTAGTTTATTAAAACTTATTTACTTTGAATCATTGATTACTTCAACTATAAGAGAAAATAAATAGGTTTGAAAATAAATTGAAGTCACTTGTAGAGATATTAACATGGGCGTTTTCGGTAGTAATATCGTGGACAGATGAATTTTAGTTTGGAGGGGTACACTTTTGTTTTCTTATTGCAGCATGGTCTCTTCAATCATCGAGAAGTAGGGTGAACAACTCCTACAATTTAAATAGGGAAAGTGCCATCTATGACCCAATTGAAAAGGTAATTTGATGGAGAATTCGGCAATAAGACTATTTATTAAGACACTATAAAAATGACAAACTTATAATAAATTATTATAATTCTTTTAGTATAATTCAATTATTATTTACAAGTTTACAACTAGGTGTTAATTAAAATAAATCGATTATTAATTTTCTTCACGTCTTCGCTACTGTTGACAAGATACAAAAGTAAAAGGCCATTCAAGCCAGACTTGAAGAAAAAAGAAGAAAGGGGTGAAGACAAGAACGGCCCACAGATATCACGAGTTTGTTATCTAGTAAGAAAATAAGAATAATTAACATTAAATTATTTAAAAATCCAAAAATTAAGAAGAAAATCGTTTGTTTCAAACTAATATAATCTAATAATTATGTTTTAAACTTTATATTTCCTATTTACTTTCAAAGAATCCCTTACTTTTAGACCTGTTGTCAAATAATGTACCTATTTAACAAAATGGTTTTATTAAAAGATAACTAGTGTGCTGCAAATTCTAGATGATGTCAACAGAATTATTATTGTATTTGATAGAGAAACCGTCCAAAGTAGAAGAAAAAAATTCAAGTTTCTATTTGTAATGCATGAGACGTTAGCAGAAGTAAAAGGCTATTTAAAAGATACAAATATTTTTAAAGAAGTTGTAAGTTTTACTTGTATTAAATAAAATAGAATCATTTTGTATCGTTTAAGAAATAATGCATTGAAAGTGGTTTCGTAAAGTTGTTTTTCATGAATGTTCACAAATACATATTTTTATTGCAATTTTAGATTCAGCAACCAAAACCAGAGGACAAGGACATATACGAAGTAATAAAAAGATGTCGCGGGCGACCTGGCAAAAACGGTAAGTTTTATTTAATATTTTTTGACAAATGCATGTTTTATTAGGTATAGATCATTTTTATTTCATTATCTATATTTCAAACAGGATTGTAGATCTATTTTAACTTACGTTTCGTTTTTATTTCAAATAGGAGATTTTGCAGCCGCATAAAAAAGTCGTATAGGAGATTTTGAATCATGTCTTCCAGAGGGAAAAAAATTATTGCCATGCTGAATTCAACTAAAAATAATAATTCTTCTTCTAATGGAAACTTTTCCATGGAACAGCAATTTGATATTAACAATATACCTGTAATCACTGCAGAGGAATATTTATTACAGACACAAACGAGGTCTTTAGTGTTTGAAGACCGTCTACTGAGTAGTACAAACCTAACGAACAATTTAAAATGTCATAATTTAGAAGACTGTATACCAAATCTACCTGCTACCTCTCTAGAACATATTGTGATGGATGTTAATAATCTAAATGGTATTGAAGACTGCTTAGTCACTGAAATCAACACTAGTGAGTTGGACAGAGATTCTTTTAAAGGCTGTTTAGATATAATAAACGACGATAATCCTAATATAAATCACACCCAATGAGAAATATTAAACATTTCAAATACTTTAGAACCCAAATCTTTAGTAGCCAATTAGTTACCAAGTGACGAAGAAACTGGAAACAATAGTGATACTTCTTATAAACAACCATCAAACAGTAAGTCGGATACAGAAAGCGAAAACGATGCGACAAATACATTAGAGAACCAATTCATTAAAGACGAAAATGTTAATATAGGCAGAAGAAGAAAGAAAAAGGCAGACGAAAAGAATTGGACTCGAATTAAAAACAAAAAACTGCGGCAGGAAGGAAAAGCATACTTGGGGTTTAAAAAAGAAGAAGGTAAAATTAAGTATAACTGCCAACGCTTGGCAAGATCGCTAAAGCCAGTCTGTAATTCACCAGTATGCAAAAATTCTAAGGAAAGATTTTGTTCACAATTTAGTGAGGAATGCAGACAAAAGATTTTTAAGAAATTTTGGAAAGAAAGTAATTGGAAGCAACGAAAAACTTTTGTTTCTTCTCACGTATTAAAAAACAGCGTTGCAAGGACGTCAAGTGAAACTTCTAGAAGACAGCGGATTTTTGTTTACTTTTTGAACAACGGAGAAGAAAAACTTCAAATGTGCCGCACGATGTTTATTAATACGCTAAATATTGGCTACAAAACTGTACAAGATTGGGTTAATAAAAGCTCTTACGGTATGGCAGCAAAATCTCATGTAAAAAACTACGTCAAAACTCGTTTCGTGGAAGGGTATCAACATCTAAATAATTTCTTTCAACAATTGCCAAAATTATCTGCACATTACTGCCGCAAGGATACATTAAAGTTATACTTAGAGACTTCTTTTCAAACGCTAAGTGATTTGTACAAAGTTTATCATGAATATTGCAAAGAGTAGAAATATATTTAACAGTCTTTCACGAAAAAAATCTCTCACTTTTCCGGCAAGAAAAAGACCAGTGCAACACATGTTTTTCGTATAAAGAAAAGGCTAGGAAAGCAAAGACGACCGAGAAGGAAATAGCTGAAAGGGGAAAATTGTGGCATTATCAATGGACTTACAGGCAGTCAAACTAGCGCCATTTTTGCCAGCTGGAAAAATCTATTTTAAAACAAAACCGTGTTGTCACAATTTCACTTTATACAATTTGGCCACTCGTGATGTAACTTGCTATTGGTTTTCCGAGGACCAAAACAATCAGATACAAGCTTCTACGTTTACTTCTGGCATAATAGACTTGTTGGAGAAAAATTGTTTGACCCCTGACAAGTTGCCCATTATTATCTATTCTGATGATTGTGGCTTTTAGAATAGAAACAATATTTTGTCCAATGCTATTTTAAACTTTTCCATCAAACACCAAATATTTGTATACCAGAAGTATTTAGAGCCAGGTCAAACTCAAATGGAGTGTGACTCGGTTCATAGCACAATAGAGAGAAAACTACGTCATCCCGAAATACATTTACTAAGTGATTACGCTTCCGTTACTAAAGAATCAAGATTAAATACTAAACCCTATGATGTACAAATTTTAGACTACAACTTTTTCAAAAACTTTTCTGAAGTTTCCTCGAAATTCTTCGATACGCCCAGGTAAAAAGACCAATGATCCCGTCGTCAATGATATTAAATGTATGAAGTACATCCCCAACGGGAAAATTCAGGTGAAGTTAGACTACGATAGTGACTATACTGATCTGCCGGTAAGACCAAAGATTTTGGACCCAATAAATGACTAGCCACAACTTTTAAAAAGCCAATGTAAAATTAAAAGAGAAAAATTGAACCAACTTCAGGATCCTAAATCGGTGTTACCAAAAGATACGCATTCGTTTTACGACAATCTGCTTTTTAATTAGTTTCTAACATTAATTACTATTATTATAGTACTTAAACTTATAACAACTTTTTGATTTCTCTAATATTATCAGTTATTTTTTCCTTTTTATATAATCCCAAGCAAAAATGGGGTTCAAAAATATTCGTTTATTTTAATAAAGCTATTTTAAAATTATTTTAATACTAATTATTTTGCTTACTTCAATTTATCCTATCCGAAAAAAAGCGATGCAAAAACTCCCTTTAGTTATTTTATCAATGTCAATATCTCCTATCTGACCTATATGTTTATGTAAGAACTATATTGTACAAACAATTTTTAAATATAACAAAGAAAATAGTCCAAATGCACTTTTAAACAGAAAAAGTAGCAAAATATTCTTTTACGAGCCGTAGCAAAGTTTTTTGTGTTTCCTGTAAAGTTTGTCAATTATCAGATAGCAGGTTTTGCCAGATCGCCCGCGATGTTTTGTTGCCATAATTTCTAATACCCTCACGAATAAAGTAAAATGGCCATTTACAAAAAAAATTAAGCAGTTTTTTGTTTATATGTAAGTATAGGAGTAAAGTACATTAGTCAATGCATATTTTCATATTAGTTTTTTAAAAGATTGATTTAAGACTCAATATTCGTATAAAATGTAATGTCTTTTTTTAGCTGCTGCTGAGAGCGGAAAATGGTGTTGCTTAAAAAGTAAGCGAAATAGCCTTAAGAAAATGGCCGGGAAGTTCAACAGAAAGGAGTGTGTATGAAACCAATACATGCTTGATATTATTTATGACAAAAATATGTCCATAGTTGCAATTATTTTATTTCTTATTAACGTAGGTGATGTCCATCAGATGTCCATAAATTATCCAAAAGCAATACAAAAAGAATCCATATATGGACCTTTTATGGAGTCCAAATGGACGTCCAGGAGTCGGACATTTGTATAGTCCATTGGATGTCCTTCGGTAAAATGCTAAACGTCCTTTGGACAGCCGATATGTCCATCAATGGACTTCCGATGTATATCCAATGGATTGACTTGTGCTGTCTCGGTCACTGCTCGAGGGTTAAAGTGACGATGCTGCAATAAATAAATAATGATCGCGTGTAGCCAAACGGTGCACAAACCGTCCCGAAGCGACACAGCTAAGAGATGAATATGACCTGGTGAGCTTTTGTCAAGTCTTCCACAGGTCCGCTTTGGCCTTATTCTCAGCTATGAAATCGTAGTAAGATACGTTCGCGTGCTATGTATACTCTTTAATAATTAAAATTAATTAGATAATCCACAAAATGTTTTTACATATATATAGAAAGTCTAAAATAATTTATGTAAAATGTAGATAAGATACTTGCATTTTTTTGGTAGTTCTGCAGCTCTATAGCACGTATGCACCAATTTATTTAGAAATGCTTCAATTTTATTTCTAATACTTACTGGTGTAATGTAAATCAAACCAATCAAAAATAAGCCAGTTGCTGTGATGGCAGCTATAATCCAGTCGGGAAGAGTAGGGAATGAATCCTTGATCAGAGTGTTCACGTTTCCATGAAGAGCTGCTAGACTTCCTACTCCAAGAACGAATAGCATAAAGAAAAATGCTATAGCAAATAACTGAAACAAAATATAAAAGTAAAGATAATTAGTATTGGATCTGGGTCGTCAGTTCCGCAAATAGTTATTCAAGAATATAAATGTCTGCGGGTACTTGGATGCCATCTTTATTTATATTTATTCGAAATGTATAATGTATATATTAATAAGTACCCTTTAAATTAACAAAAAACATGTAGATAAAGGGGAAATACCTGTCTCAAAGAGAGCTTTGGGTATGGTCAACATAATTCTATACATAAAAAAACATGTCGAAATAATTTAGCACATAGAAGCCAACATTTGTTTAGATTATTCACGTCCAAATTTATTAATATCATTAATATAATAGGTAATTCAAAAGTTTAAGACGACATTCTTGTCGTTCTTGTAACTACGTTTTAAGTCATATGATGGTCAAATTTGACCGAAACTATAATTTTGATATATTGTGGTTAAGACCTTGAGTTTTATTTTCTTGAAGAAAGAAAATATTGTAGTATCATGATTAGAAACATATACTTTGTGTAAACTATGGCAATAGATAAAAGGTTAACCTTTTTCCGAACAACTTTACATCGTGATATTACCAAATGTTACGTACGGATCACTATTTTTCTGATATGTATTGAAATAGTTCCACCCCATAAGGTTAAACCATTCCAATATCCTAATGCTTTAGGTTTGTGGCACCTTTGGCTTCCACAAACAAATATGAATAACTAAGGGCCAATATTTTCATCTCTGAGTAAAGTTGAAAGTAACTACTTGCTGATTAAACTATAGAGATAGTCTGTTAGTCTGTCAGGTAAACCTACATGTAACTTAACTCAGAGGTGAAAGGATCGGTCCTAAATAAAAAAATTACAACCAACAATATTATTCCAACACCATTGGCGTCACAACTTTAAGGCATTTCTGAATAAATCATGGCATCAAAAGTTTAAAGACAATCATGACAGTATAGGGTAAGGTGAAAAGTTCTCGGCCTGATAGAGTTGTTATGTTATATTTGGAATGATGTGTTAATACCCTACGGCCTTAAAGATCTATTGCCTATAACGATCCATCCAATCCTATCTTCTCAAGGAAGTGTAGAATTTGGAGTGACTTTAAGTTAGATATTGCTCCCTCTTCTATTTGATATGCTTCTAGGTATAGTGCCCTTGGATTCTGGACTGCTACACATTCAGTCAGAATGTGAATGGAAGTTTTGTACTGATGATATCGCAGAACGGCTTAGGTCCCACAAAGAGTGTTTGAGTCCCTTTCCTTACGAGACTCTCTGCCATCTTGTAACTTTGCCCCGTTATGTCCAGGGACCCAAGTGATGGTAACTGTATTTTCCTCGCCTAGCTCATTCAGTTTTTCTAAGCATCTCCAAACCATTTTCGAGCTGATTACGGAAGAGCTCAGCGCTTTGATGTCTGCTTGGCTATCGGTAATGATGATGACATCTTGTCTACGATAGTTTCTCTTGATGTTAAACTGAATACACTTCTTAATGGCGTGCATTTCCGCCTGGAAGATGCTCGAATATTTTTCCAAACTTTCAAAGTGCCTGGTTCTAGGGCCACAAACTTATATTCCAGTTCCTTCTATAGGTTTGGAACCATCTGTATAGCATATCTTTTGGCTGGCAGCGCAAAGTATTTTTGACTCCAGAGCTGGGCAAGTACTCGAATACTTTTACTCGTATTTCGATTACGAGTAGAATAACTACTCGTAATTTTTACTTATAAGTATTTTTTATTTGAAGTACTTATTACTCGTACTTACAAGTAAATTTAAATCTACTCGTAGAATGTATTTGTAAAATACGAGTATTATTTTACGAGTAGTCGGCATTTTTTGATCGTCGCATGTTAACCGCCAGTCGCTACTATAGATGGCCAGTATCACGACTCACGTTTAAATATTTTAAAAATAACAGAAACCCCATATTTCTGTTTCAGCGTGTGAAGGTGTATTCGAAATAATATTGATTTGGTTTAACACGATAACGATAAAGTAGGGAAACAAAAAGATGAGTTTTTACAAAGTTAAAAATTACCAGTTTCAAAAAACTGTATTTAATTATTCACTGTCAAGTTGACCATGTTTGTTTTATTTATATTCTAAACAAAGTTTTTATTTATTTTTCCTACGACCACTTAGGAAAGTGACACATATCACACTATATAGACCTATGGAAAGTGCCCTATATCACACGCGTATGAATAAGAATTTACTTTCCACCCAAGTGAGAATATGCTACTTTCCGCAGTAGCTGTCAGAAAATGTCAAACACATAATTTCTATTTTGATCTATGTAATGTCCATATTAATACTAAAATCGATATGATTGTTAAATTATTGTAAATTAGATCCTAGATATTTATCTTTAACAATTATTTTTAAAATAATTTTAAAATAACTAAGATATATTTGCTTTTTATTCTGGTTAAACACATAAGCGATTAGATCAATCAATTACCGTAAGGCCTGTTAGCTCAGTTGGTTAGAGCATCAACTTTGCAATTTGAGACCGTCCAACGACCGCGATCGAATCCTGGCTGTGCCAGAATTTTTTTTTAATTTTTTTTTTATTTTTTTTTATTTGTTTAGAAATTATGAAAATTTAATAAATACGATTATTGTTGATTATTTTTTTAAATACATTTTAATTATTATAATAATCTGGTTTTACATTTTTTGATGAAATTATTTTGTGGTCGTAGGAAAAATATTGTACATCACTTGTGTGAAAAGTGATTTTCCACACTCGTAATGTAATATACTATTACAATTGTTTTTACTTTCCTATCTGTATACAGATATAAGGAAAGTATAGGAATCATGATTTTTTTCGACCTCGAGTTTTCGACGGATTTTTACGTTTTGAGGTCCCCTGAATCCGTTGTGATTTTTTTGGCGATGATGTCTGTGTGTGTATCTGTGTGTGTGTGTCTGTGTGTCGCATAACTCATGAATCGATACACAGAAAAACACCAAATTTTAAACTTAAGCTTTGTTCCAGCGTCCAATGAGCTGATTAGATTTTGGGCAGAGTCAGAACATCTGGGGGGTACTTTATAGGTGATAATTTTTATATTTTATGGAATATATCTGTTATTTACGTTTGGGGAAGAAAATTCTTTAAATAAGAGTTACTTCTTATAATATTATCTATAATTTTTGTTCTATAAAAAATTTTCCTAAAATGGTCCGTATTCAAGAAATTTGACAGAATGTAAAAAAATATTTTTTTATAAAAATTGTTCAAATAAAAGTTGTTTGTAATATAATTCTCTATAATTTTTATCCCATACATAATTTCTCTAAAATGGACCGTATTCGAAATATTTGAGAAAATGTGTAAATTTCGAAATTTGAAGAAAACTCAAAAACGGATAAAGAAAAAAACAATAAATAAGTCGGAAATTCTGGGGGGGGGGGGGGTACTTTATGGTATGCCGTTTTTATATTTTATGGAATATATCTGTTATTTATGTTTGGAGAAAAAAATTGGTTAAATAAAAGTTACTTCTAATATTATCTATAATTTTTGCTCTATGTAAAAATTTTCTGAAATGGTCCGTATTCGAGAAATTTGACAAAATGTGCAAAATTCTGATTTTTATGAAAATTGTTGAAATAAAAGTTGTTTGCGATATCGATCTCTATAATTTTTGTTTATACATGATTTTTCTAAGATGTACCGTAATGGAAAAATTGTAGGAAAAGTGCTAAATTAAAATTTTTCAGTATTTTCGTTTTCAATTAATATCTATAGAAAAATTTTTCGAGGTAGATGTATGTGAAAAATGTATATATTTAGTTTATACTCCTCTAAACATTTATAGAGGTGCTGCAATAGGTTGTACAAAATAACCGGAAAAAGCCTGTAATAACTAGATAGGAAAGTCATGTGTTGGACACATCAGATTTTTGTTTTTGTTTACGTAAGACTATTTTTATTTAAAAATTATAGTGGTTTTTCTTTGTTTTTTTATAGTTTATTTATTATGTTAATTTTGTGAAACTACTCGTACTCTTTACTCGTATTTTCACGATTACTACTCGTATCCGTAAACTATCTCTATAAAAGTACTTACGAATAAAATACTTATAAATACAATTTTCCAGTACTCGTACTCGTACAATTTACGAGTATTTTATTCAGTACTCGTGCCCAGCTCTGCTTGACTCCATTCTTTCTTGCAGCTCAGCTCTGTGGTTTTAAAGTTATTCACAAAATTGTACTTGTTTTTCATTTCATCCTGTGGCATATCCCAAATACCTTCGGTACTGAAGCTAGTAGACTTTCGGTTGATTACTCCATTCCTGATCATTATAGAGAGTGCCCTTTTGCATTTCTTGATTTGAAACAGAGATTGCGTTCCGATAGGCAAAAATTTGATATTGTTTTCTTTCAAGTAGTTTGTTTGCACGACTTTTTGCAGTAACGTGTTTTTTGTTTAAATGGATAAACTTGAATATCGTGAGGTCATAAAATTCTTCGTTTTGGATGGATTAACCCCCCAAGGAAGTTTACGGATACTCTGTTCCATCCATGTCTACCGTTAAAAAGTGGGCAGCTGAATTTGAACGTGGTTGCACGTCCTTCCAAGATAACACACGTGAAAAACGGGTAGAAACTGCCACAACACCGGAAACCATCTAAAAAGTGCATGATATCGTGTTGGAAAATAGGCGAGAGAAGGTGAATGAGATAGCTGAGGCTGTGGGGATATCGGAAGAAAGGGTGCGATATATCTTGCATAAAACAATAGTGATCCGAAAGCTCTGCGCAAGATGGGTGCCGCATTTGTTGAATACCGATCAAAACCAAATCTAAAGCGATTTTCGCATCAATATTTGGACTGATTGAATATGGATCCGACCGATTTTGTGTGGCGATTTGTCACCATGGATGAGGTATAGGTCCACCACTACACGCCAGAAAGGTCATAGGCAGCGCGTTTTGTGATGCTAAAAGGAATCCTATTAATTGAACACCTTAAGAAAAAACAGAACAATTACTGGTGAATATTACTCCAATATACCTAAACAGCTGGATACCAAAATTCGCGAAAAGAGGCCTGGCTAGAAGATGAAAAAACTCATTTTTCACCAGGACAATTCAACTGCACACAACAGTGCGTTGGCGATGGGAAAAGTGTGGGATCTGGGTACGATTTGCTCGACCATCCCCAATATTATCTTGATTTGGTACCCTTAGACTTTTATCTGTTCCTAAACTTGAAGAACTTTGTTATTGGGAAGCGCTTTGCGTCCAATCAAGAAATTAAGAGGGCTGTAGGTGAATATTTTCATAGCCTTTCAGTTTCTCATTCCCGGGACGAAACAGTGATGTTGGACAAACGCTGGATCAAGTGTGTTGAAGTTAGGGAAGAATATGTAGATAAACTGAACCATTTTTTAACTGAAAATTACAGTCTTCTATTGTCAGGCCAAGAACTCTTCACCTTAACCATTAAACTCTGCTTTACCTATTCCATGGAGTTTTTATACTTCCATAACCTGTTCGTATTTAAAGATAGAAGATATTCGGCACTTTACTGATGGATTACTTTTATTGTGGCTTAAATTACAGTAGATATACTTATTATTAATTTGTTTGGTAGTATCGAATATATAAACAACTTTTATACGTACCCACGGTGCAAATGTAAACTTAGAAAGAGCATCTGGATAAGAAATAAATGCCAAACCAGTGCCACCACCGGCTGAAAGAACTTCACTTGGACTAATGCCCATTTCATGAGCTAAGTTTCCAAGTATTCCGAAAATCGTTATTCCAGATAAGAGTGATGTAAATGTGTCCAAAGTGGTTACAATCAACGCGTCTCTAAAAAAATAAAGTGGTTTATTAATAAATTAGAAACGAATTCATTGGGATTTTTTTTAGAAAATCACCTGCTTATATTGTGGTCGAATTTATTAAAAGAGGAAAGTGTTATGATATTTCCAAAACCAACGTTAAGTGAAAAAAAGCATTGTGTAACTGCGGCGTACCATACCTACAAATAAAATATATAAAATAACTTAAATACCTCGCAAAGACCTAAGAACTCGACAAGCGCTCTAATATAATTAAAACAATCCAAGTTATCACTGTAATAATATACATGGTCTTTTGGGCCACCTTTAGTTTAATCCGCTCTTGCCACCAGATATAACCTACAAAGGTGCTGTTAACTTTGCAGATAATTATTGCTGTTAATTCATCCAACGAATCCAGTACTGTGTAGACTTCCTGTCTTGAGAGGACCCTTTGTCCATAAAATCAAACACTGACGAACGGCACAATGTTTCATTTAACTATTCTAAGAACACAAATTATTTACATATTTACCCTATGCCACGACTAAACCATTTGTTTGCTTGTAGGAAACTCAAAGCTCATACTATTAGTTATATTTCTAACCAAAGGTGAATGGAATTATTTGATCAAAATTGGGAGTTAGTAACCAATTCGTTATGCAATTGCCTAAATACAATTTTAATACTTACATCAGCATCTAAAAGTCTGGACCAGTCAGTTTCAATGAAATACATCATCCCTTCAGCAGCCCCTTCCAAAGTTGATGCCCTAATTAATAAAGTTATCATGATCACGTACGGAAATATAGCTAAGAAATATGAAGCTTTGCCTGAACTTCTTATCCCTCTCGCTGATACCAAGAAAGTTATAAACCATGACAGTAAAAGAAGAAGGGTCAATCGCCAGTCGGGTAGTCCGATACCGTCGCTGATATCGTCACTTTCTTTTAGAACCTCTCTCCTAAAAATTAGTAGGTAGCTACATTAAGTATAAATAAAATTTCAGAATAAAGTTTTTTACAACATAGCGAACGATATTTGGTATGTGCGCAATGCACATTTTCCCAAAAACTTGGAATTCCAACAGTAAAAGAAGATATCAAAATGTTTACTGGCAAGCATGAAGTCAGACTTCACCTACACAGCATATCAACGTAGAAGCTCTTCAGCTGCTGTGTAAGCGGATTGTGTTATGTAAGGTTAGCCCACAATTCACGAGACTAATTTTATTGGTAGGCACTTCTTCATTCTAGTTTTATTGAATTTTTTTTTTGTACTTACTGCAGACCTCCTTTGAGGTGTTACAAAGATAAACATCAGAGCATGCTTTCACTGAGTGTCTACTAAGACAAAATAGGACCCATTTTTATCTTTAGCTTTATCTTTGTCGGTTATAAGCAGGTAGAATTAGATTTGGCCCAGAACACTGCGGCCTCTTGGGTCTATTGTATTTTCCTGCTTTCTTCGTATTCAGGTACTACCTTTGGAAAAGTCATGTGCCCTTGGTTAGTTTTATTAAGTTCCCTACCAAGTATTTCTGGGGCGTCCTTTTCGGTTCTAGGCCGAAAAGGGTGCAACACCGCCTAGAAGAACTTCGCATTCGAAGATAACATGGTATGAGGTTCCTTCCTCTTTCAATCAAAGTCTGCGCGTGGTGGGATCTTTGTGTAATCCAATCACATAAAGGAGTTTCAGTAAGCGGTGTCTCGTTAGTAATTTTACAAAGGTCGATATATGAAGCCTTGCAAGCCGTAGTATCTTAGCAGCCGTTCGTGGGTTTGGTCCTCTTGGCGTAAGCTTGCTGGTTCTGTGCCCTCTTATCTGCTGCCAGTGAATTTGTTGTTTCGTTGTTATTCACTTGTTCACTGACTGTTGAGCAGAGGTTTTGCTTATCCCAAATACAGGTTCGAGTCCCGTGAATGGTAGTTCTGATCCCGCTTTGGTGAGTTTATCAGCCTTTTCATTTCCTTGGATACCTCTATAGTACTCACGGTAGGTTTACCAAATAGGACGACTCCTGGTAGACCTATTAACAGCATTGCATGCTTATACGTACAACTTTGGGCTGACATAAGATACTTCGTGTCGATTGTGTGAGGAAAAGAAAGATACTGCAGCACATGTGCCAAATGTGCTACTTCGAAAGTCAATCGAGATTTATTACACTTGATGAAAGAAAAACAGAAGCTTCACAGAAGAGTTACTTCCTAGGCTCATCAGTCTATTGAATATATCAAAGTAGTTAAAGTGCCAATCCAATAATGACAGGATATAAATAGATTTGCTCGGGTTGATGTGGGGAGGCTTGCCAGGAGGCAGTAAATGTAGTCGAATCTCTATTCCTCATTACTCTTTAAAGATTTTCAATATATTATTTTTTTTCTAATTTTTAATATATGTAACAAATAATCTATATCGTCTTACCTAAAATACATTTCTGAAGAACTTATAGTGATATTCCCAACACTAGAAGGATTGTTTATATCCACACAGGTTATATTTCTTGAATTTAAATAGTTACTCCAAGAATCCTGGCAAGTTGTCCATGGAAAATTGTTAGTAAATGAATTAATAAGGTAAAAAAAGGTTATTGCCATAAGACTACAATAATAAGAGGCCACACAGGTAGAACCAATGACTTGGCCAATTCCAATACCTAAAAATTGAATGGTAAGTAGATAAAAATTCCTATTATTCTTTAGCTTGAAATTATATGTTAAATATTTATATTATACCTACCTCTGAAAACAGGACTTAATGTTTGGTACATTTTTCCACATCCCCTGCTAGAAAACTGTCCTAGAGCCATTTCCATGTAGTACATCGGCCTTCCTATTACAGTCAAAACGATAATGTATGGTATAAGAAAGGCCCCTCCGCCATTTCTGTTAGCTATGAATGGAAATCTCCATATATTACCCAAACCAACTGACATGGCAACGCAAGACATAAGAAATTCGAGCCCACTGCCCCATTGGGATCGTTCTTGAACCTCCTCCTCATTTTCCTAAATTATAAATTGATCATTTTATAGTTTAACCAGTAAAGAACAATTATAAATTATATATAGGTATCTATAAGTAGGGGAAACCGGGGTAAGTTGTTACAATTTAACTTTGTATATCATTCGCAAAGGAAAAGATATTGATGTCATTTTTATAGCAACATATTTTTTAAATTGTTATATTTTACTCAAACAGAAATAAAAACTCACAATAAAACACAAACATGAATAACAATTTTATTTTGAAGTAGTGTAAGATGTAACAACTTGCCTCATTTACTAAGTTGGGTTAAGTTGTTACGTACAATTTTATATTTAATAAATAAAACAACTGATTACCATCCGTACAATCTACATGGGCCCAGTTTCTGCATCTATTATGAATTCTTTCGGGCGAGAATTGTGGAAGGATTCTTCACGAAATAAGCAATAAGTGTGGTCTTCAGAGTCACTTCCACTAGATGAGTTGTTTTGGGAATTTTCTGTATATTTGGCAATGACTTGGTTTTTGTCCATTCGTTCATTTTTTAAAAAATATTTTTAATTTAATCTGCACTCCTTAATTTTGCTCAATTTCTCTATTCTCCTAGTTCCTTTTTTTTTGGAGTATCGTCCAAATTGTTGCTTTTCTTTTCTTTTTTCCTAGATTTCGTATAGTTTTGCGTTCTGCAGCTTTTGGAGATGGTCTTATATCTGATGAACTAAAATAAGTGTTCGATTATACATTGTTTTTTTCTGTTAGTACAGTTCTTGGAGTTTCACAGCTTTTGACGTTTCAGTTTGTAGGCTTAATACAGGCTGATCCATTGGAGGCCGATAAAGGCTGAATGCCGTTTTCGTCATCAATAATATTTTTAATGTTATTTTGGTTATTTTCAGGACTAGGTTGATTTGTAATGTTGGATAACATTAAAATATCCCTGTCAAATGAAATATGCCAGATACTTTAAAACCTGGATGTCTGGATATTCGAAGCTTTACTTCAGTAAATTATTACCAAATTTATACCTATATATATATAAAACTAAATTCGCCGAGTACGTTTAAAATATAATGTAACAACCTGCCACTGTAACAACTAGCCCTGGTCTCCCCTAGATATATTTTTTTGTTTTGGATATGCTTTTAAGAGTTCTTATACAAATAAGTAATTTATTATATAAACAGGTAACTCACATTGATACTGGATTTCTTTTCTTGGGGTATATTGTTGTCAAGGTTACCATTGGATGATATTAAGGCAGGATTGTCAAAGCCGTAGAAGCCTATTTTCTGAAAAAAAAAAAAAAACTCATAATATATAAATCAGAGTCGAATTGTTGTTTTTGCTCGCCTTATATCTTCATTTATAGGCCCTAGATAAATAATATTGAAATATAATTACATTTATTATACAAAGTATAATCAATTTCAAGCCTAAAGGGTCAGATGAAGGTATACTGTTGCAATACGTTTTTAGAAAATCCTTGAGCAGCGCGTCTAAAAGAGTTGTTTTCTCAAACCACCCGGAAAGATTTATGATTTTATGCAATCAATATTTAATCAGAATATAAAACGTGTTAATATTTTAATTCCTAATTTATTATTTGATAAAGTTTTTATTATGGTTTAAAAATAAGGTAAAGTACCCGAATTCCGTCCCCATTCCTAAATTCGTCCCCAGTCAGAATTTCATGTGCAATGTGGCAACGTTGCCAAAACGACAATCAACGCTTCAGAACCATCCAGTTGACAGCACTGACGTTGATAGGGCTGATCTGTTCTACTTATTTGCTGTTATATTGTAAAAAATAAATATAACAACAGTGTGCTATAGTATCAAGTGAAGTTCAAACAACTATATTGATGCCATAAGGTAAGTTTTTCATGATTTATCCATTGATAATAATAAAGTGCTACTGGAATAAAGTGCACCAGTTGCCATAGCCTTGTAGTCGTAGTCGTTTGGTCAGGAGCAGTCGCCATTTTTATTGTAACTAGAATCATAAATCCGCCCCCCTCGAGGTTCTCAAATTCGTCCGGGGACGAATTTAGGACCCCTCATAATTTTTACTGTGGTATATTTAGTTTCTTACTCACCTCTTAGGAAGATTAGTTTCTATGGAACTTTTCGTTCTTTTTAACCGACTTTAAAAAAGGAGGAGGTTATCAAACTGAATCTTTCCAGATGCCACCCCGCAAAAGATGGGATTCTGATACCATGGTGAAAGCTATTGCTGCGGTGCGGAACAAGGAGATGGGGTATAAAGTAGCTGCAAAGGCTTATGCTGTCCCGAGGTCTACCTTGAAGGACTACGTCAAATCTGCTCTCTCACCTGAGGAATGTATGAGCTTGAAATATGGAAGAAGGCCAGTTTTTTCCGCTAAGCTTGAGAAAGAACTTGTTGAATACTGTCTGGATATGGAGCGACATTATTATGGACTAACTATTTCTGACCTAAGACGAATGGTTTACCAATTAGCTGCTAAAAACCAAGTTCTTAATCCTTTCTTGCCTAAAGCAAAGGCAGCTGGCAAAAAGTATGTGAGACTATTTTTCAAGCGCCACCCAGAACTATCGCTTAGACGACCACAATACCTGTCAATGGCCAGAGCGAAAGGATTCACAAAAGAAAATGTTGAGAAATATTTTTTGATCCTGAGGACTGAACTTGAAAAAATTAACTTTGACCCCGCAAAAACATTCAATGTAGATGAAACAGGGATATCTGTGGAACAGTACAAGGCTACTAGAGTTGTTACTTGCAAGGGAAAAAACAGGTTCACATACTTGCATCTGCTGAATGTGGGGCCACAATTACAGTGATAACCTGTATGTCAGCTGCAGGTCAATATATTCCCCCCTCTACTAATATTTCCACAGAAAAGGTGGCAAGCAGAACTGCTTAACGGAGCACCACCAGGGTCAATAGGGGCATGCTCGGATTCAGTTGGGTCACTGGTCCATTGTTTTTCAAGTGGTTTGAACATTTCATTTCCACTGTCAAGCCTTTAAAAGAGAAGCCGGTAGTGCTCATCCTTGATGGGCACTACTCCCACACTAGAAATCTAGAGGTTATTGACCGCGCAAGAGAGGCAGGAGTATCCATAGTTTGGCTTCCTCCTCACTCAATAGATAAGCTGCAGCCTTTGGACGTAGCATTTATGTTTCCTCTAAAGACTCGATATGCAAAGGCTATAGAAAATTGGATGGCCTCTAATCCAAACAGAATTGTTAGGTGAAGCATACCTTCGTGCTGCTACCCTTGAAACTGCAGTCAATGGATTCAGGTAAACTGAAATTCACCCTTTTAATCCAGAGATTTTCCAAGAGCACGATTTCATAGCTAGACAACTTGAAGAAGAGCCAGAGGTGTCTGATAATGGAGAAAACGATGATATCCAGAATGCTCCAACTCCACCTCAAATGGTCAGTCCAAAAGACATTGTGCCAGTTCCAGTAATCCAGCCTTCTACATCTTCTAGAGCCGGAACCTCGTTCTTGGTAACAGGAAGTGACCATAAATCGTCTGTAAAATCCTAAATGGAAAAGAAACAAATGGCGGAACAGCGTAAGAAGAACCAATCCCAGTCAACTGTGAAGAAACGTCTCACCATTGAAGGTGGAGATCAGCTAGCAACATCATCAAAGAAACCTACCAAAATGAAAACGAAGAAATATGACTTGAGTTCAAGTGACTTTGAGGATGAAACACAGTCAAGTGTAAAGAAACGTCTCATCATTGAAGATGAAGATCAGCCTGCAACATCATCGAAGAAACCTATCAAACAGAAAACCAAGAAATATGACTTGAGTTCAAGTGACTCTGAGGATGAAGCAGAGGTTCCACTAGTATCCACCTATGACGAGGACAGTTCAAACGACGAAGATGTGTCATGTCCTATCTGTGGGAGGCGTTTTTCTCAAGACAAGCGAGGAGAGAGATGGATAAAGTGTTCTAAATGTCTCAAGTGGTACCACGAGTTGTGTTCATCCTCAACAACAGTCAAAAAATTTGTTTGTGATTTTTGCCTGGATGGGTAAATACGTAGATGGAAGGTACACTCAAGTATAAAAATGTATGCTTAAACATATTTTCATTTGAATAAATATATAGGTTTCACATGGTTTTAATTAGATTTGCACTGAAAAGAAATAAGTAGATAGGGGGGGAGGGGGGGGGGGGCGGAATTAGGACATCTTTTTGCAAATCCAAATTTTGCGAGTTATTGCGTTTTTTTTATTTTTCGTTCAAAAATATTTATTGAGTAGAACCGCACTAGCAGAGCTATTAGACATTAAGTTGAGTTGCCCGACTCAGTTTTTTATTTATTTTTAACTCTCAACAAATTTTTGAAAATAACGATTTTTGTTAGGGGGACGATAAATGGGCACTTTACCTTAGTAGACCTTATACCAAACATTAGTATGAACCATACCTACGGGTTCTAAGTACAAAGGCATTATGAAAAAACTATGAAGAAACTATCGTTATAGTTCAGATCCGTAAGTAAGATCGACCTTCACCCATCTGTCTAAGGAATAAAAGTTTTTTTTATTAAATAAAATATGTTTTTAAATATACCGCAAATGGGTTGACTAAGAAAATACGGTCACAGCTATTTTTTACTTTCCTTTCTGTATGCAAATAAGGAAAGTGTAGGAATCATGATAAAAGTTGCTTATAATGTCCTCTATTATTTTGTCCCTATACATGATTTCCCTAAAATGGACGTAATTCGAGATATTTGAGCAAAAGTGCACATTTAGAATTTTGAAGGTAACTCAAAAACGGACGAAGAGAAAAACACCAAATTTTAAACTTAAGCTTTAATTCATCCTGCGGTGAGCTGATTAAAGTTCGAGCATGGTTAAAGCATTGGGGGAATACTTTACAGGGTGTCGTTTTTTCTACTGTAAGAAAACAAATAGTCTGGACCGTATTTTCTTAGGCAACCCATTTGCGGTATATTTATAAACATATTTTATTTAATAAAAAGAAACTTTCATCCATTAAACAGCTGGGTGAAGGTCGACCTTACTTCGGATTTAAGACTTCCCACATGACATTAATGTTCAATGAATATACTAAGACTAAGAACGTTCTGTTTATTTTCTTTTTGATATGTCCTTTGTAGTATGTTCTTAGAACATACCTAGTATATACTTTGAAATATATTCTAGAAAGTATACGTGCTTTGAAAGTATATTCTCAAAAGTATATATTGAGTACGTACCTTAAAAGTATATTCTAAAAAATATATACTGAGCACGTGCTATAACAGGACATTCTTAGAAGATACTAAAATTCATATACTCAGCATGTACGTCATATTCTGAAAACGTCCTAAATGCTTAGAGGTAAAAACGTGTTTATATACATTTTCATATGATTTTTTTGCAGATGCCGATCTGATAATTCGCTATCAAACGCACTAATGTTGAGTGTTCAGGCCAAGAGAAAAATGACTCAACCTACAAATTTTTTGATCACGCTTGAGGTTGACACAGTTGACATTGCATTGCTTCATTGAATAGGTAAATAAACTAATAAAAATCAATTGCATCGTGAGTTCTATACATAAATAAACAAATTTTACTATAGTTTTAGTTCTTAGGACCTACAAGTGATGTTAGAACACAGGATATCCCAAATATTAATTGCCAGTGTGAATTTAGACCGTCAGATAGTGACCGATTTAGGTGCCCCATTTTCGCATACAAGATTTGAAGAGGGTTGAAAAGTACATCGATGTTGAGTAGAATAAAAGACAATTTATGAGTGGCTCTTGGGGATAACACATGGAAAATTCGATTTTCCTTATCAGAAAAATTTTCCGACGCCAAAATGACGACGTACATTTTCATACATTCGATGGGCTTGTGTGACAAAATCTCGATTTTTCCTTAGAAGATTACGCCCTTATTTCAACCCTTCAGCCATTTGCAACATTAAAGCCTTTGGTTTTCTGAAGCCTAGTTCTATTAATTAATTATATAGTAAAAACAGCTTGCGTGGAAAAAATGGGTAGCAAAAAGTCTTTCGGTTTTGTTAGAGAAAATAAAATTTTTCACGTATTATCCCCAGCAGCCACTCGTAAATTTCCTTTAAATCTACTTAAAATCGATGTACTTTTCAACCCTCTTCGAGGCTTGTATGCGAAAATGAGACACCTAAACCGGTCACTATCTGACGGACTATAATGGCGAATTTAAACTAAAATACAGTGTTACCAAAATTACATAGACACTTTCTACGAAAAGAATCCTGTAAGGCCAGAAATTGACCTGG